GGTTACAAATAATCACATCAACAATGACAAACACTATTTTCAAATCATTCTTATATGCAGAGGACCGATATATTTTTTAAAAAATCAGTGCTCTCTTTCTGAAAGTGCCAAAAATTTTTACCTCGGGGTCGGTCATAAAATAGTGATCATCATATTCATAGCGTAAACTGTCGCCACTTTGTTTAGACCGGGAACCCTCCTTTGCGTTACTGGAATTGACTGAGTTGTACTTTTCTCATTTAACTGACTTTAGTTCTTTATCTTGACATTCGAAGGAACAAAATGTGACAGTAAAAATTTAAAATGGAAATACTAAAAAGAACGTACACAAGATGCCGAGCACCCCAGTTGCACTGAACAAATCGCCAAGAACCATCTAAATATACAGCATTCCAGGTGTTCCTAAATCGAATGTCTTCAAATCTGTAACCTGGCTGGTAACCGGCAGATTTGCTGTATCCCTTTATGACAACACAATGAAGTCCAGCGTAGCTAAAATCAATTCGCATGGTAGTTAACTTAAAAGCACGAATGTTAAAGTGAAAAATGGGATGAAGAACCGTAGTACAACGATTACCTGCAAAGTCGTTTAAAAAGTACATGATAACTTTCGGTGCCGTACTTAATACCACGTAACAGTCCCATTGGTGTATTACTGTCCAGATCATTGTCAAACTGCATTACATTTAAATTTTTAACAGTTATCCACCGATATATCGCTCTACAAATAATAACAGCTATTTGGTGTAAACAGCCAGAAATTTTAATTTTAATATAGCTCACAAAAAACTGCTTTTATTCAACAAAACTGACAGTAAATAACATGGATCATCATTGCTACATACCTTGCCTTCTCCACATCCGAACAGGCGTTTGCAGTAAGTGCTCGAATCAGTTCTGTAAATGTGGTAACTTCAGACTGCGCCATCGATATGGCTATTTGGTCGATGGACTCAAACACTGATGTGCTGGTGTAGACATCACGTTTACTACACATCGGCGGTGTTGGAGGCGGAGGTGTCGTCGGATAGGACGGCGGTCCATTACTTGAGTCGCCAACATCACAGTCCTGAAGTAAAATTAAAGGTGGTCATAATTCTTGCATCACAGCTACCCGCAGCTCCTATAAACAACATCACATTGGCAGCAGTTTATTCTTATTATTAAAATTTAAAGGGACTGTATGGGATGTTGAAAACAGTTTCTGTATTTATTTACATTGTTCTTTAGAAAAAAAAAGAGTATAAAGAAATTTATCAAATCCTAACTGTAGACAGCGATCCTCTTACCACTCGAGCCTGCTTAAAAAGTTCTAGCATTTCTTTTGCTTGCCGATCTACCAGTTCAGCAGTCTGTAATCGTTCTCGTTCTTTACGTTGCATATGTAACGTCTCTAGTTTTTTGTCTCTTTTAATGGTCAAATGCCTGATCAAATCTTCTTTATTTTTGCTTCCAACTTGCCCTTTCTCATATTTACGAGCAAAATCTGCTAAAGCTCGTTCCCATTCTTCCTGAAATATTAGGTGAACATTTCTCAGCATTGTATATAAAAGCCACTATTTTACTAAAAAAAACAAAGGAGTTTCAAGATTTATTTGAATTAAGAAGCTTTTTTTACCTATAATTTCTGCAATAAATGGTTTAAAAAACAAGCACCACTGCCTCTTAAACCATATTTTAGAACAGTTTGATGCAAACCTTTGTTTCCCGTTGAAATTGATCATATTCTCGCTTCTTATCTTCATCAAATGCTTCATAGAGTTTGTCTTCGTCTCGTCGATGAATTAACTCTAGTCGAGTTTGTGCATCGTAGTCCTATGAGAAATATGTGAAGGGATAAAAATGAATAGCACAAAAATGAAAATGAATTATATAAATAATTCTTCATTTTATCGAAAAATTAGTGAAGGTGAAATTAAACAAAGAGGTATAGTTGAATTTGAAAGTTGTAATTTATTTGTGAAAAAAGTATATTACAATATATAAAAAAAAATTCATTCGTTTATTCATCAGAGAATTGGAAAAAAAAATTTTATTTTCTAAGCATAAAGCAGGTGTAAAAAAATATTTTATATAAAAAAAAGTTGTTTAAAAATTTTACTGTTGCTGATCTATCAATAAAGTAATGATTATAACAACGGCACAGTATATAATATATCACAATTCTATTCTACAAACATCTATAGCAATGCTCTGTGTTACAGTTGTTTTTACTGTTAATCTGAGATCTGATTATTATAATATTTTTGAAAAAGAAAGATTTGAAGAATTACTGCAAAACAAAGAATTCTTAAAAATTTTAAAAAAGGAAAAAAGCGAAAAGACAATTGAAAAATAACTAACCACAATATAACGTGCACCACCGTGCTTTATTTTTGGGTACGGTTTTGAAACTTGAGTTGCTTTGATAGCATGTGCAATTTTCATGTCGTCAAGACCGGCATCACGACGAAATCCGTTGGAACTATTACGACCATTCAGTATACCGTTACGTGTCGATGGTATATCGTGCGGTCCGGCAACCGGAACATGGCTATTACAGTAAATTTCCTGTAAAAATTTTTTCTTACCACTTTCAGTTGTTACATTTACAACAGATGTTAGTCAACTTATTTTGATTCATTTTTGCAGCTCTATCGTCTCATCAGAATAATAATTACAAATTTTTTTTCTGTTGTTGTTGTTCAGTCTTTTCTTTTTTCTGTTTTACACTTTTTTTTTCGTTTTTTTTTTTTCTCTGCTGTTACCGAAATGGTAATCTAATATAATTGAGAAAATAAAATGTTTTCTTAGACTTTTTAAAAATACAATTTTTGTAACAATTAGTTGTTTACATTAAAAGCATTTAACTGTTAAACGATGATGATTAACAACAACACTAATTGTAGAAGCGATGAGGTAAACGAATCAACAGCAACATTGTTGTCATCTTTCAAAAATCAGTTCCAATCCTTAACATCAACCCCTTTCTCCCGATTTTTGATCTCTGATTTTTTTTTCCTTTTCCTTCTTTTTCCCAACCTTTCTCTATTCCTATTTTTACTTTAAAAAAAAAGCAGATTTATATCACAGCTGACTACCAAAAAAAGTCTTCTTCTCTTTTTTTTTTTTTTTTTTTTTTTTTTTTT